TGGGTGGGTGTGTGTATGACTGTGTATGCGCCACAGCACATATGTGGAGGACAGAGAACAGCTTCCTGGAGTTTGTTTTCTTCTTCTACCATGTGGAGTTTGAACTCAGTTTGTCAGGCTTGGCAGCAAATGCTTTTCACCTGCTGAGCCATCTTGCCAGCTCCAAACTACATATATTTGTGACGAAACTTTGGCCTCCATGCAGACCTCACTGTGTTTTACTTCAATGTAATGGAGTTGGGGAAGGTTGAGACAGGGTCTCCCTGTAGCTCCAGCTGGCCTGGACTTCACTATGTAAACCAGGCTAGGCTGGATCTCACAGAAATTCACCTGCCTCTGCATTCTGACTGCTGGGATTAGAGGGGACTGCCATCACACCCTGCCCTGGGGAGGCCATTTTTAAAGCTGATTACTTAAATGATTTGAACTAAAGGACAAGATTATTTTATTGCTGGTGACTGGGTTAGAAGACAGAAAACTCAAAAGATGGATCCACACTGTGGAATCTTTTGGTGGTGTCAATGGACCATTATCTGTGTGAACACTGTGGCCAACGTGCTTGAGAACAGGGCTGTAAAGCCTTTTGCTTTTCAGATTTGACCAACTGATGTGGAACAGGAACGTAATTTGTCCCTGTGTCAAGAGGAGGAAAAGGAAGCAAAGATGTGATTACTGTGCACGAAGAGGTGACCTCCAGGCTTCTAACACCGAGCAGGAAGCAATCATAGATAAGGGGGCACATGCATATAGCAGAGCAGACCTGATTGTCTGCAAAGGTGTTGGTTAAATGTGGGCTTTCTAAGACACAGCCAGTCACAGCAATGTCTAACGCCACAAAAGAGAAAGGATTTCGTATTATTGGTGGGTGGTGCTGAAATGCATATCAACATACCCCCCTGGGTAGGGGCAGGGATTTTGGCTTTAGGAGCTGGAAAGATGGCTAAGTGGTTAAGAGCAATTGCTACTCCAGGTTTGATTCCCAACACCCATGTCAGGTGGCTCATAACTCCCTGTAACTCCAAGTCCAGGTGATCCAGTGTCCTCTTCTGGTCTCTAGGGGCACTGCGTTCACACGCACAAACCCACACATAGACACACACATACACATAATTAAAAACAAAATATTTTAAGAGATTTTAGTTGTGTGTGGTGGTGCACACCTTTAATCCCAGCACTCAAGAGGCAGAGGCAGGCAGATCTCTGTGAGATCGAGGCCAGCCTGGTTTACATAAGAAAGACAAAAAATTTTTTTTGAAGATTAAAAAAAATTGTTATATGTGTATGTGTGTGGGTCTGAATGTATGTACATGCACCATGTGTGTGCAGTGCCCATAGAGGCCAGAAGAGGGCATCAGATCCTATGGAGCTGCAAGTACAGGTGGTTGTAAGCTACCTGACATGGGTGCTAGGAACAGAACCTGGGTCTTCTGCAAGAGCAGTACACACTTTTAACCACTGAGCCATCTCTACAGCCTTTACATGTCTTTAAACATTGTTCTGTTTTGTACTATTTCTTCACAAATATGAACAATTAAAGATTAGTCCAAAACCACTAAAGCTTGATTCAATGAAAGATTAGTTCAAAGTGCTATTTGATGCTATTTGAAGTTACATTTTTAACAAGAAAGGGAAAATAAACCCAGTCACTAAAGGAACTTGTGTGCTCATGACATGTGTGTTTGACTCTGTCTTTTGTATACATGGGAAGCCAGGGGTAAACCAATCCAACACTGAACGCTATTATTGTTTTTTAATGCACTCAAACAGCCTCACAGTTTCAAAGCCTCTGCTCCACTCCAAATCTGTCACACATCCTTCCAAGTGCTTTCACCTCATGAATGCCTTCCTTGTCTCACTGCCCAATCTGTCCTGTTTCTATCTCCTCAACCTGTTCTTTGCTCTGAGTCCAAGGCATTACCTCTTCCATCACCTCTGTCCTACCCTCTGTACCTTGTTTAGGTCCCAAGTTGTCTTCCCTGGACCTGGGAAGAGCTTCATTACTCCGGTCCACCATCTTTTAGTCAACTGTCTCCTGACTGTCTTCTGATCCTCAGTAATTTCCCATTACCTCATGCTGCAGCCTCAACTCCGTAGGAAGACTTTTTACTCTAGCTTCAATCTCACCACTAATGCTGTTTGTTGAGCTCAAGCCACACTCATCTCCTTGGGTCCCTGGGCATCCCCTGCCTTGGTCTGTCCTCTACTTGGAACGTCCTGTGGGGGGTTGTTTGCTTGTTAGTTTTTCTGAGAGCTGGCTCAGGGGATAAAGTGCTTGCAGAGCAAACCTAACAGCCTGAGTTCAATCCCCAGAAGCAACATAAAGGTGGAAGGAGAGAACCGACTCCACAAAGTTGTCCTCCGACCTTCACATACACACCATTGCACATGTGCCTCCCTCCAATCACACACACACACATAACCCTCCCACAATAATAAATTAAAAAAAAGAAAATATATGGAGCAAATCAACATGGGTGCACAGAGGGCAACGGAATGTATACTTTACAGGCATGAGAGTTGTATTATTATTTATTATAAGTAACTGACCACATTATAGCATATAGCTACACAGCTATGTCACCAACACGCGGGTGAAGAAATGACACATCTCAGGCCCCAGATGTCCCCCTGTTCCTTCTCTAATCAGGGGTGATGGCCATCCTGACCTTTAGCACCCTACATCCACCGTGCCTGTCCTTGTCCCTTATATAAATGGGCTCCTACCGTATTCTAGCTTGATTTCCCTGTTGCTATGATAAAACATTGATCAAAACAAACTTAGGGGAGTAAAGGGTTTATGTGGCCTACATGCCATGTCACAGTTCATCACTGAAGGAAGCCAAGGTAGGAACTCAAGACAGAAACCTGGAGTCAGGGAACAGAAGCAGAGACCTGGAGGAATGGCTGCACACTGGCTTGCTTCCAGGATCATATTCAGCTTCTTTTGTTTTTTAAAAATCTTATTTATTTTTATTTTACGTGTATGAGTGTTATACCTGCATGTGTGTAAGTGCACCATGTCATGCAGTGCCTACAGAGGACAGAAGAGGGCGTGGCATTCCCTGGAACTGGAGTTATGGAAAGTTGTTAGCTGCCATGTGGATGCTGGGAACCAAACCCAGGTCCTCTGAAAGAACAGCCAGTGCTCTTAACTGCTAAGCCATCTCTCCAGCCCCTCACCTACTTTTCTTACACAGCCCAGGCATACCTGTCCAGGGAATGGTATCGCCACAATGGGCTGGGCTCTGCCACACCAACCAACAAGAAAATGCCTCACAGACATGCCCATAGGCCAATCTGATCTGGAAAATTCCTCAGCCAAGGCTTCTTCTTCCCTGGTGACTCCTGTTCATGTCAAGTTGACAAAACTAACTAGCACATATGTGGGATGTGAAGTTTTCTGTCTGGCTGCATCCATTCAACATTATTTTCTTAAGATTTACTCATGTTGCTGTGAGTAACAGTAATTCATGTTAAATCAATATCTGTGAATGTTTTTTAACTTGTATGGCAGATGAAGATATCAGATGCCGAGCCAGAAAGAAGCCCAAATCCCTTCTTTCTGGCTGAGAATTGCTTGAGATAAAACTGCCTGCAAAAAAATGGTTGGGTTTCTACACCTTAGGAGCTCCATGGCATCAAGTGGGCAACATGTTCAGTGAACATTTCTAGAATGAAGGGATGAATGAAACAGAACGTCAAGTTCCTCTTTCAGGGGGAGGGAAGAAAGACCCCCAGAGCTCACTGAATTTTTAAAATCAGTCAACTTTCTAACCCAGGTGTGCTGGGCAGCTTTCGTGTCAACTTAGTGACACACCGGGGTTGAGGGAGCCTCAATTGGGGAATTGCCTTCATTGAACTGGCCTGTGGCCATGTCCACAAGGCACCTTCTTAATTGTTGAGTGATGTGGGAGGGCCCAGCCCAGTGTGGGTGGTGCCACCCCTGGGCAGGTGGGCCTGTGTTGTATAAGAAAGCAGGCTGAGCAGGGGCCAGGGGAGCAAGTCAGTAAGCAGTGATCCTCCATGGCCTGTGCTCCAGCTCCTGCCTCCAGGTTCCTGCCCTGAGTTCCTAACTTGGGCTCCCTGATGAACTGTGACCTAAGAAATAAACACTTTTCCTCCACAAGTTGTTAGTGGTCAGAGTGTTTTGTCACATCAATGGAGAAACAAACTAGGACACGAGGGCAACAATTTTTGGTGCATTACCTGGTGCTTCATATTTTGGCACTATCTATTATTTGTGTGTGTGTGTGTGTGTGTGTGTGTGTGTGTGTGTGTGTGAGAGAGAGAGAGAGAGAGAGAGAGAGAGAGAGAGAGAGAGGTGAGTGCTATCTAGTGGATTTGGCTAGAGTGCCTGTCCCTTGAGTCCCTACGATTCTCTTGTCTCCAAGCCCTCCCTAGTGCTGGGATTATAGGTGTGCACCATTGTCTCTGGGTTGTTTTTGTTTGTTTTTTATGTGGATGATGGGAAATCGAACTTGGGTCCTCATGTTTGCAAGGCAAGGACTTTCCAAACAAGACAATCTTTCAACCCTTTTTTGGCTTTTTCACAAACATTTCAGAACTAAAGTTTGAGAGTTTTTGTTTTCTTTTCTTCCCTCCTTCCCTCCCTCCTTCCTTCCTCTTTCTTTCTCTCTCTCTTTCTTTCTTTCTCTTTCTTTCTTTCTTTCTTTCTTTCTTTCTTTCTTTCTTTCTTTCTTTCTTTCTTTCTTTCTTTCTTCTTTCTTTCTTTCCACTTCTCCCCACAAGCCATAGTTTGCTGAAGTGAGTGAATGGGAGAAGGGAAGTTTGGCCACTATGCTGTGGAAGAAATATCACAGATTTCTGATGGACTTTATTAAAGAAAGGATTATCCATGTTCTCCAGTCCCTGAAAAGCTGTCCCCAGCTCCTGCCAGCTGTACCCCCACATTGCTTTATGTGGTACACATTTACCAGGGAGTGCTGTCTTCCAACCACACCAGTACCTCCAAGTCAGCCCACTTGCCAGTGAGCACCTACCTTGGGGATTAAAGAAGCCTGTCATCCAGAACACATTAGGTCTCCCCTCAAATATCCAAGTCGAAAACTGAGCATTCCTTTCTAGAAGTTCAGTAAACCAGAAGCCCAGGGTGGAGGAATCCCAGGACACTCTCTTCCAGATATGAGGTATGCGAGCATCATACATATTGTCCAGGGCATCTCTCAAGTTCTGAAGAAGATAAGGTGAATACACGAATAAAGGGCTGGAGCGAGGGTTCAGTGCTTAAGGGGACACACTGCTCTGGCAAAATAGCTAGGTTTGGTTCCTAGCACCCATGGCAGGTGGCTCACAACCACCTGTGACTCCAGCTCCAGGGACTCTGATGCCCTCTTCTGGCCTCTGCAAGCACCTGCATTTCTGTGCATAACCCTCTTCCACACATGCACATTAATTAAAGTTAAGAAACATTCGTATACATAAAATAAAAATAATACTAATAAACTACATGAAGAAGAAACAGCAACAGGGGACTGAGGAGATAGCTCAGTTGGTAAAGTGCTTACCTTGTAAGCCTGAGGACCCGAGTTGGAGTCCCAGAACCAACATAAAAAACCTGGATGTGGTGGTGCATGCTTGTAATCCCAGCACTGGGAAGGCAGAGACAAGAGCGTCACTGGGGTTCACCAGACAGCCAGCCTAACCTAATTGGCAAGACCAAGGTCCCAATGAGACCTAACAAAATGTGGATAGTGTTTTGAGGAATGACATCTGGGTCTCAGCATGCACACCCACACACAGAGGAACATGTCTGCTTACATACTCACACACAGAAAAAAATAGAAATGGCGACTGAAAAATGGGAGTGCCTGCTCACCTCACTCATGACGATTGTCCCTTCGATGGCCAGTTTTAGATCACCCAGGCTAACCCGAAGTATTGAGATGACTTTCTGCAGCCTGTCAATTTCTTGTCTAAGAAATATGTTCATTGAATTAAGGGGCCCCATCTTTTGCAAACGAGCTTTCACCTAAAACAAAGTGTATGGTACAATAAAAAAAAAAACTTTAAAATCATTTATCATTTCTCTTCCAATGACCTGTCCTTTCCCAATTCTTTTCCTTCGTGTGTGTCTCTACCAGACCAAAGGAAAGCTAAAATCTCTCTTGCAGAACCAAACTGGCTGTTAAATTCTCCATTTTCTGAGCTCCAAAAACTACTGTTCAATGAAAATGATTTTTATTTCCTACTGATTGTACTTAGTTGATAATTGGAAATGTACTTTAAAAAGCTGAAATAAAATTGTGCCTCTTTCCCCTTTCAAATGGTAAAGGACTGGGTGTCAGATAAATACTCTTTTGCAATGTAACCTTTCTAAGAGCACACTGGGACCATTTTTCCCATTATGCTTACAAAGTTGTTATGAGAAATGTCACAAAAAGTTGATATAGCCAAAATCTTTACAAAGTAGTTACCAACAAATGCAATTAACTGTAGCTCCCTACAATCATGGCTGCCTCGACTGCAGTGGCTAAAAAGACCTTTCCCTAATCAATGAAAATATTTGACTTTGTAGGAGAGCCACTAGGCACCTGCTGCTTGTTCCTGGTCATATATCATTTATTGACCATGTGAAAGAGATCAATACCAAATCCTCTTATTGTGGAAACAATAAAATATAAAGATTATTGGGAAATAAGTCAATATGCATTCACATTTTGGTTTAGTGTTATATGCCAAGAAATGATTGACTACAAATACTGGCAGGAATACATAAGGGGGCTTAAACTTTCTTCCGGTCACAGTCCAAGAGATGTCACAATGGGAGGGAGATGGAGACATTGAACAGGAGAAGATTTAACACGATGATCAGGCTGAAGAATCACCAGGAGGCTAGTAGCTGTGGGTCTTTCTGCTGCAGACACCACACCCCTTCCTGAGACCCAGGCTGCTGAGAAGTGTCCTCCAGTAATGAGCCCTACAACAGCTGTATCCTTTCCAGCGAGGGAAAGAGGAAGAAAACAGTGACATAAGACTCAACCGCCTAAGTGGGCCCACCTAAGCAGGTAGAGCAAATAGTCCTAACAGCACAGCCAGCTGGCCAGTAGGGGTCCCTGACCCCATTCCACATTTGACCTTCAGGTTTCCTCCTGCACTTCTGGCTTTAGAACTTCTTTTTCTTTTCTTTTTTTTTAATTTATGTGTATGTGTATGTGCATGTAGTTACTTACAAAGATCAAAAGAGGGCATTGGATCCCCTGGAGCTAGAGTTATAAATGATTGTGAGTCCCTGGGCATGGATGCTAGGAACCCAACTTGGGTCCTCTGCAAGAGCAGCTAGTGCTCTTGACTACTGAGCCATCTCTCCAGCCCCCCCTTTCTTTTTTTTTTTTTAATTTATGTGTATGTGTATGTGCATGTAGTTACTTACAAAGATCAAAAGAGGGCATTGGATCCCCTGGAGCTAGAGTTATAAATGATTGTGAGTCCCTGGGCATGGATGCTAGGAACCCAACTTGGGTCCTCTGCAAGAGCAGCTAGTGCTCTTGACTACTGAGCCATCTCTCCAGCCCCCCAGGCTTGAGGTTTTAAAAGGAAACCTTGCTGGGCATGGTGTACTGTACCTGTGATCCTAGCTACTCAGGAGGATCACTTGAGTCCGTGACTCTAGTCCATTTTTTAAAATAATTTAAAGATAAAAACAGATGGGGGAAGCATCCTAGAAAACATAATTTTAATATTGATTATATTTCACGTATGATTGGAGTAAACAGGACATCTATCCATAGCTGGAATGCGCTAAGCATCTTAAATACCAAATCTGGGTTAGAGAGACAGCTCAAGTGGTTAAGAGCATTTGTTGCTCTTCCAGAGGACCTAGGTTCCATTCCCAGCACCCACATAGTGGCTCACAACCATCTGTAACTCCAGTTCCAGAGGATTCGATGCTCTCTTCCGGCCTCCTTGGACAGTACATGTAGATGGGGCACGTAATACAGGCAGGTAAAACACTCATACAAGTAAAATAAAAACGGCTAAATTAAAAAAAAATATGAATATCAAATTGCCAGCACCTCTGTTTCGCACTTAAAGATTTTCGAATCTTTCCTTTTTCCTGTAGTGTCAGCTGGAACTTGCTCAGTAGACCAAGCTGCTCTCTATCTCCCAGAGATCCCCACCCTCCCGTTTCTGCCTCCCAAGCACTGGGGTTAAAGGCTTATGCCACCATGCCTAACTTTGAACCTTTTTTTTTTTTTAAATATAGCATAGCTTAAGGCCTAGAGATTGATACATAACTGTAACAGTGTGGGAGCCTTATGGAAGAATTACTTTGGGAAGGAATTTTTAAAAGGAAACAACAAAACAGTATGATAGAAAATAATGCTCAAAAAACAAATTTTCACTGTTCTTAAGTTTTGAAGGATGACAAAGGAAAAATGAGTGGGAGACGCAGTCAGTAGTGTGGTCAAACAAAGCTCGGCACGGGAATCCTGCTACACAGTCAACATCAGATAAGTTACTGTGTTTATGGTAATCAGACTTCTGTGTTTAGATCCGCACGTAAGTGATTTGATTAGCATTTCATTTACCCGGCCAAATACAGTATTTCTATGGTAAACTTTGGGAGAGACAGGACAAGAGACCCATGTGACATGCCGCTAATAAAGTCTACCACCTGAACCATGACTTCCTGTTCCAGCTGTGGGTGGAGTCCTGTAGACAGGTAGACTTGGGATGCAGAACAGCCCAGGCACAGAACCACATTACACCTGCCTCAGAACATCTGCCTCTGACCTTTTCCCACCCGTAGATAAATTTCACTCAGCCCAGTCTAAGACTCATGAGAAGGAGGGGTATGGGATGGAAGTTGAGAACCAGGAGAGAAGGGAGCCTGGGTGGTCAGAGGGCACAGCCCTGTCTTCTTGTACAAAGTAGGAGTATTCTTGACAGCACTTTTCAGACCGGCCACACGTTTTAGCATTCTTTAAAATACATTTATACCAGCAGCTCTCAAAGTGACATTTGGGATGCTGCAGGACCCCCAGAGTCCTCATGGAGGGTCTATGGGTTAATCTTTGTGTTCTTTTTTTTTCCATACATTAACACGCTAGTTGATTCTTTTATCCTCTCATGAGTGGAGTTCATCAGGAGCTATACAACACAGGATATTAACAGATTGAATGCAGAAGTCACCTGAGAATACAGCCCACATCTGAGAACTGAGCCAGATATTAAAGAGACTTCCAAAAGAGTAACTCATTCCACTCCAGAGTTCTCTCTCAAAAGGACCAAAAAGAAAAAAAGAAAAATTGAAGCTGGGTCCATTGTTAGGCTCCTGGCAAACTCCCAAAATGGCAGCACAGCTCCCAACATTCTAAAACGGGGGGTTTGAACTTAGCCCTGGGTAAGTCCCTCTGCCTGTTGGGAGACCAGCCAATCCTGAACTAAACGGCCCAGACTATGTCACAGAAAGTTACCGAAGCACCTAACTACCTATAAAAGATGTCTGACTCCCCTGCTTGCTGCTGTTTCCCTGCTCCCCGAGAGGCAGCCCAGCGGTCTGTTTGCTCTCAAATAAACTGCTACCCCCCACCCCGATGGAGTTGTTTGGTCAGTGGACTTTGCCGTGTCTACTTCCATACATTTAGAACCTAGCACTTGGGAAGATGAGGCAGGAAGATCACCAGTTTGAGGCCAGCCTGGGCTACATAGCAAAACCCTGTCCCCCAAATCAAAACAAAATGAAAATTGAGAAAAGCTGATTTAGGTAAACAGGTAGCATGCGGGAGGCTGAAGAAATGGAAAATTATTGCTGCCTATCCTATCTCTCTGTTGCTGTGATAAACACTGACCAAAAAGAGCTTGGGGAAGGAAGGGTTTTACATGGCTTGCAAGTTATAGTTCTGTCATGGAAGGAACCCAAGGCAGGAACCTGGAGCAGAAACTGAAGCAGAGACCATGGAAGAATGTGGTTAATTGCTCTTCCCCCTGGCTGGCTCAGCTGCCGTATAGAGCCCAGCCCCACCTGTCCAGAGGTGGCATACCCACAATAAACTAGGCAGGCCCTCCTCCATTAATTAGCAATTCAGAAAATGCCCCACAGACATGCCCACAGGCCAGTGTGATGGAGACCAATCTCTTGCAATGGCTAGTTTTAATTGTCAACTTGGTACAATGTATACTCATCTGGGAAGGGAGTCTCAATGAAGGATTGTCTAGAGTATTTGGTCTATGGGCATGTCTTTGGGGACTGGCTTTATTATGCTGATTGATATGAGAGGGCCTACCCACTGTGGGTAGCGCCATTCCCTAGGAAGGGAATTCTGAACTGTGTAAGGCTGAAGAGGGCAGGCTGAGCTCTACATGCGTGCACTAATTCGCTGCTCTCTGCTCTTGAACTTCGGGTCTTAAGTGAGAAGCTGCTCCAACTTTCTGCTCCTTGACTTTCCTCAAGTGATGGACTCTAACCTGGACTCAAGAGCCACATAAACTCCTTCTCTCTTAAGTTGCTTTTGCCAGAGCATTTTATCACAGCAACAGGAAATGAAATGAAGACAGTCTCCTAATCCCTGGCAGAAACGGAAGGAAAGGCATGGGGCAGGACAAAAAAATGAAAGGTAAGTTTGAAGAACAAAGCAGGCTTGGGTACAACAGATAGGGAGGAATTAATAGAGCACAGCGGCAAGATGTTGGGCTTCCTGAGACAGGAACACGGAGACAGGAAAGGGGTACAGGGAAGGCAAAGGAGAGGAGAAAACCAAGTACAGGAGCTACACCTGAGTGAGGAGGAGAAGGCTGAAAGCCCGAAACAAGCCCAAAACAAAGAAGGAATGGGGGGGGGAGAGGGAGAGAGAGAGAAGAGAGAAGGTAGATGATAGATAGATGATAGATAGATGATAGATAGAAGATAGATGATAGATAGATAGATGATAGATAGATAGATAGATAGATGATAGATGATAGATAGATAGATAGATAGATAGATAGATGATAGATAGATAGATGATAGATAGATGATAGATGATAGATGATAGATGATAGATAGATGCATGATAGATGATGCTAGATAGATAATGATAGATGATAGATGGATGATAGATGATTGATAGATAGATAGATAGATAGATAGATGATAGATAGGTAGATACATAGATAGATGATAGATGATAGATGATGATAGATAGATAGAGAGATAGATAGATAATAGGTAGATAAATAAAATTATAAATAGGTACATAGAATGACAGATACATAGATAGACGATAGATAGATAGATGATAGATAGATAGATGCATGATAGATGATGCTAGATAGATAATGATAGATGATAGATAGATAGATGATAGATAGATAGATAATGATAGATAGATAGACAGATAGATAGACAGACAGATAGATAGATAGATAGATAGATAGATGATAGACGATAGATAGATAGATGATAGATAGATAGATAGATGCATGATAGATGATGATAGATGACGACAGATGATAAATAGATGATAGACGATAGATAGATGATAGATAGATAGATAGATAGATAGATAGATAGATAGATAGATAGCTTAGATAGATTCTTTTCAGGATCCTACCCAGTGGAAAGGGCACGGCTTACCTCGTGAGGCAAATAATCAGAGGGACGCTTGCTCAGCATGTCCTAGATGCATGATAGATGATGAGAGATGACGATAGATGATAGATAGATGATAGATAGATGATAGATGATAGACGATAGATAGATGATAGATAGATAGATAGATAGATAGATAGATAGATAGATAGATAGCTTAGATAGATTCTTTTCAGGATCCTACCCAGTGGAAAGGGCACGGCTTACCTCGTGAGGCAAATAATCAGAGGGAAGCTTGCTCAGCATGTCCTCAGATAGCCGGTACACAATGGCCTCGCGCGTCTCGCCCATGCCACCTCCACTCTCTTTGGGTTGAATGTTGGTGATTGTTTCAAGAACATCAGAAGCTGTGTTACTCTGATACCTGATGGGAAAAGTAAGGACTGAGCATGAGGAAGGTGGACACTGCCTCTGGGATTATTTTCCAAGCTAAAATGAGCTCAGCGGTTAAGAGCACTGGCTGCTCTTGCAGAGGACCTGAGTTCAATTCCCAGCATTCACATGGTGGCTAATAACCCTTTGTAACTCCAGTTCCAGGGGATCCGAAGCCCTCTTGTGACTTCTGTGGGCACTGAACAACATGGGTGCACCTACATACATGCAGGCAATACACTCATATACATAAAATTAATAAGTCAAACATTTAAAACCATAGTATGCTACAGAAACCAGCTATGAGCCAAACATGATGGCTCATGCCCGTAACCTTAGCATTTGGGGGTGCCGAAGCAGAAAGACAGCTATGAGTTTGAGTCTAGCCTGGTCTACACAGTGAGTTCCAGGGTACCCAGGGCTATAGAATAAGACCCTGTCTCAAAATGCAAAAAAACAAAACCAACCAAACAAGTTAACAAACAAGCAAACAAAATAATTAAGCTATGATTTAATTTTTATTGATAGTATTGTGTATATACTATAGAAAAATCTGGAAGTGTCTCTTGACAGTGATAGTTCTTTTTAAATTTTATTCATTAGTTTTTTTATGTGTATGAGTGTATTGCCTGCATGTATGTAAGTGCACCTGTGTCATGCAATGCCCATGGAGGCCAGAAGAGGGTCTCAGATCCCCTGGAACTGGAGTTATGGATGGTTGTTAGCTGTCATGTAGGTCCTGGGAATCAAACCCGAGTCCTCTGCAAGAGCAGCCAGTGCTCCTAACCGCTGAGCCAGCTCTCCAGCCCTGGCAGTGATATTTCTGTATGATAAGTTTTTCCCTAAAATAACTTTGATGAGTTTCTGTATTATTTATTTTTCTAAGAAAGTATGCCTTACATGATAATGTATTAAGAAAGTATGATTTTTATAACAGGGTAACAAGTTCATTTTCTTTTTGAAAAATAAAGACCTACCCTCCCTCCATAGACAAAGCCCATCTCAAGTGCAAAAGACTCAGTAGAGACGAATCAGTGGCAAATGTTTGGGGGGACATTAAAATGCACCTTACAAACCCTTACTCTTTGTGCCAGCCAGAAAAAGCCCTCAACTAACATTTCTCTTCGCTTTACAGGAGAAAAACGACACCTTCTCTCTCCGCATTCCTAGGTGTGAATTAAGCAACCTTTTTGGAACTTGCTTCACTAACTGTCAGCATCCTAAGGAGCCACTGATAAAGTTGACCAAGTTTCTCTGCTTGTGAAAGAACTGTGTTCTGTGGGAACAGAGGGGTCATGTAGAGCTGGTGCTCAAACTCATCTGTGAATGGAGGACAAGCCCCTGTTTCCTGTTTTCTATCTGACAAGATGAGTATGTACAATATGTGGATTCTGACATGTATGCACACACCCACAACCTTACCAGAGCTGTGGTTGCTTTACATGCAGGACTTTTACTCAGTGTGATTGTTGTAAGAGTTCTCACGTCAGAATGAATGTTGGTCGCTCCACCTGGAGTTTGGGAAGGCTTCTGTCTTGCATTTTACATGTGAGTTTCAAAATAAGCATTACTAAAAGTTGATTTTTAACTACTTTTCATATTTATCCCTGTGCATGCATGTATGTATATGTCTATGTGAATCTAGGTGTCCATGGAGGCCAGAAGATGGTGATCAGATCGCCTGGATCTGGAGTTACATGTAGTTGTGAGCTGCCCAACATCAATGTTGGGAACTGAACTCTGGTCTTCTGGAAGAGCCATAGTGTTTTCTTTTTTCGGTCTTTTTGAGACAGGGTCTCCCTGTAGCCCCAGCTGGCCTGGAACTCGCTATGTAGACCAGGCTGGCCTTGAACTCACAGAGATCTGTCTGCCTCTACCTCCTGACTGCTGGGGTTAAAGGTGTGAGCCCAGCCTGCCATAAGTGTTCTTAACCACTGAGCCATCTCTCTAGCCCCAAAAGTTGATTTTTATTTTAATATTTTATTTATTAGTCTTGTTTTTTTATGTATGAGTACATTGCCTGCACGTATGTAAGGGCATTCATGTCATGCAATGCCTATGGAGGTCAGAAAGGGGTGTTGGAGCCCCCAAAACTAGAGCTATGGATGGTTGTTAGCCACCATGTGGGTGCTGAGTATTGAACCCAAGTCCTGTGCAAGAGCAGTGTTCTTAACCACTAAGCCATATCTCCAGCCCCCCAAAAGTTGATTTTTAATAAATGAAAATTTATTGTTTAAATTATTTAAAAATCACTTCTTTTGGTGAACAACTCCTACTCAGACATTGGCAGCTTTAGAATACACCAAAATACATTTATTTCAAAAGTGGAAGGATGAGTCTATGGAATGGGACTATAACTGACCATAGGGGAGGGAAAGAAGCGCTTCAGTAAAGTGGCACAGAAGGACCTCTGGAACCCGTCCCTGAATTTGGGGAACAATCCTAGTGAGTTAAAAAAATTAGTCTTGGCATAGAATAACAGCACAGGCAGCAATCCAAGTTTGAAAGTCATAGAAAGTATGGGGCCTGGAGAGCTGGCTCAGCAGATAAGAGCACTGGCTGCTCTTGTAGAGGATCTGGGTTCAGTTCTCAGCATCCACATGGTGGCTAACCCAGTTCCAGGGGATCTGACACCTTCTTCTAATCTCTGTAGGGCTTGCATGACATGGGTACACTTACACACCTGCAGGCAATACACCCATACATATAAAATCAATTAAAAAAAAGTCATAGAAAGTATAATAAAAATGCAAATACCTCTGACAGGAGAGATCCACGGAAACAGTTGATGAGACAAAATAAGGATGTGATTCACAGTCCAGGATGTACAAGCTATATTACACAGGTTTCAGAAATTTAAATCTGTGTGTGACTCACATGGGTCCATGATCTCCCTCTGGGGTTAGATACAGTAAAGACTGAAATTGTGGATGAATCACTCTTCAGGATGATGGAGGGGCTATCATGGCTGATGCCTCACAGAACACCAGGCAAGCCTGGGTAACAACAAATCCCTGACTTTCTCCCAAGCACCCTGTACCCTCATTTCCCTGCACTTAGAGCTCTCTTTGCCTTATCTCAAACAGCTCCAATGGAATTAAATTTATATGTATGCCAGGCATAGTGGAGCACACCTTTAATACCAGCACTTGGGAGGGAAAGGCAGGTGGATCTCTGTGAGACTGAAGCCAGCCTGGTCTACATAGTGAGCTCCGGGAGACACTATTTCAAAAAGACCAAAAAAAATTTATATGTGTGTGCTTGTGTATGCATGTCTATTATGTGGGTATGCATGTGTGCATGCAAGCGCCTATGGAGACCAGAAGAGGTCATCAGATTAGATTCCCTAGAGCTAGAATTACAGGCAGAGTGAGCCTCCCAACAAAGGTGATGAGAACCAAACTCAGGTCTTCTGCAAGAACTCTTAGCTACTGAGTCATCTCTCCAGCCAATCCCCCATGACCTTCAGAACGAGCCCAAACTCTTAGCCACAACACCCCAGACCACACTCTACCTTTGTAATGTCCCTTCTCTTTAACCTCCCCGCATGCTGGGCAAGCTGGGCTTTGTTTCCAACATCCTGCAAGCTTTTATGTCTTCACGCCCTCCTTGATGACTCCATCTTCTGTCTTGGCCCTTACTGTCCGTTATGTTTTTCTTTGCACCCCATCCTTCTCACCCAACCTCCTCCTCACATCCCATCCCTAACCTGTCAACTGTGCATCCTCTTAAGCACAACTGGAAGCTGGCCTCTGCCCCTAGCTGTCTTTGATCCCTAGTTTGTCTGCACGAGGCACATACACCATAGCAATGTCTATGTGACCTGATTTGAGAGTTGATCAGATTGTCTTACGTAAGCATTTGCCACTTATCCATTTTCCCTAATGGACGATGAGCTTTGAGGATGAGAGCTTTGTCTTTCTGATCTTTCTGTCCCCAAGCTGCTCAGACAGCAAGTTCCCAATAAATATTTGTTTGTTAAACTAAAGCCAGTTGGCTGGAATTTTATTAAATTTCAAATACAAAGGAGAGCGATTCTCCAGCATTTGAAGGGTATGAAAATTTAATCATCTGTCCCTTCTTATGGTAAAAATTTACTATATTTATTACAGTTTTTCTACTTCCTGGCAGTTCTCCACCTATAGAAGGAGAAATACAAACATATATGTGTGTATGTATATCGAGAGAAATTAGTATCTTAAATTTGCAGTTTTCATGGGCTATTTTCACAGAATTTTATTCCTCTCATAGTTATTTGTATTTTTCTTGTATTTTACATGACTTTCAAAAACTCGGATTGTGCCACACTTCAAAATTCAAGAAATGGATTAAAAATGCCTTCAGTAATACATACATACATACACATACATACATACATACATACACACACACACATCCCTCAAAAACAAAGGAGAATCAGAAAGTTGTACTTTTGAAATGAAGGAAACTATTTTGCAATTACATTATTTTATCATCACAGATCTTCAAATGCTAAAGGAAGAAAACCACAGTAAATTTCCATTCTTGCTAAGGTCACTCTGTCCTGCCTGTTCTATCTACAAATAAAAAATGGAATGACCCATGTTTGTCAGATCTTGGAAACTCTCCTGGCTCACCTCCGGCCTTGCATCCCCTCTGGAAGAATGCTGTGCACCCCAGGGACTGGGTGCCAACAGCATACACCACCATGGGCCCTGGTCAGGTTCACAGATGCTCCAGGGAGGGGCCCCAATGGAGCTGCTTCAGCTGGGACCTTATCTCACCTAAGAAATCACTTTCAGGATGGGTGATTTTTATCCTTTTATAAGGGTACTCAAGAAGAGTCTTCAAAATACAAGTGTTGGTAAGGTGCCCTGAAGAACTGACCCACTTTGAATGACAACAGCACAAGCTCCCCATATCACTCTCCCATAACCCACTTTGTTAGGCACACACTGGCACTCTCTGGCATTCCAGGTTTGTGTGACTTACATTTCCTTTTCCTCAGCATGA